CTCCATTTTTGCAGACTTCCAGTCCGCAGTCTTGGTCCTTTGTGGACTGGCAAGCCCCACTCGCTAAAATGGCACACACACGGCGCATGCACATGGCCGCGCTGAAGAGTGCACAGCCATTCAGACAAATGGAGCTTGAATGTCTGCAATTTTCCATTTTTGTGTGTGTGTGGGGGGGGGAGTCCAGAATGGATCCCCTGCGAAAATGGAGGTGTGACTGCATACACAGTACATTCTTTTTTAAGAATAACCATTGGCTTTGGATTTCAGTTGTCAAATCATACCTTATAATTTAAAAATCCAAATATATTCATAACATATTACAAAAAAGAAAACCCTCATAAAAAACCCAAACACCTCCCTACCCATATCAAAAATGTCATCAAAGTTGTATACTCCAGAACATTCAGGAAAGTGTATTTCAAGAAGCCAATATATCTTCTGTTTTGCAATTTTTATTGTTACTGAAGTCTAAGCTACTAATAAGTACAGGTTCGATATAAAAGTGTTTCAGAATCCTTCTTCCAACTTTAGCAAATGGTTTGTTACAGTCTATTCCTAAAGAAGTGATAATTTTCACCGTGTCAATCAATAGCAGGATCTCATTTTCATTCTCCAGATCTCCCAAAATGTGGCACATCATCCTGCCAAGATCTGTAAATGAGTGCTACTCATCATACTGCATGGAAATATCCATGACAGCAACAGACAGCAATGAGCAGCCACAAAGCCTCAGCTTGCCAAGGCTTGAAATGTTAATAAGCTGTAAGGAAGCTAATCATACTAGGGAATCATGGGAACTGTAATTTATTGTGGCACCAGAGCTCTCTGACAGAGAAGGTTCAATGTCTCAGAAAAAAATACAATTCCCATGACTCCCTAGCACTGAGCCAGGGCAGTGCCTCAATTTAATGTGCACTATTTCTGGCAGTCTGCAAAGGCCCATGCTCAAGGTCAGTGTGCTCTTCTTTTTTTCCCTCCCCAGTCAGTTTACATTGTATTTATATTATGTTTTCTTCATCATTATGAAGGGAAGCAAGGAGAAGGCTTCCTACAGATTTACTGCCCCAGAAGTTAGGACCCAGAACAATAGAAGCAAGCTACAGGAAAAGAGATTCTACCTAAACATTGGGAAGAACTTCCTGACAGTAAGAGCTGTTCAACAGTGGAACAAACTCCCTCAGAGTCTCCTTCTAAGCGGGATGGCCATCTGTCAGGAATGCTTTGATTGTGAGTTCCTGTATGGCAGGATGAGCTTGGACTGAAGGGTCCTTGTGGTCTCTTCCAACTCTATGATTCTATGGACGTTACCACACATGGGCCAGAAAGCGATAATAAAGTGGAAATGA